TGGAGCGGACACCACGGTCGTCTTCACCACACACGGACTGCACACGCGCCGATTGCACACAACCATTGTCAAGCAAAGCGAGCCAAGCACTCGCCCCTGCACTTTTGGTTTGACTTAAAGCAATCTTTTGTGAAATGCTTGCGGAGCTACTGCTGCCATTCCAATCAGCACTTTTCATTACACCACGGGCTGGCCTGTGGGCATGAAGGTAGCAAATCGCAGACAGAATCTGCCGTATGTACCTGGGAGGATCAGAGAACTATCTCACACACCTGCTCACGACAGTCCAACAGCTCCCCTGTTAGCATCACAAGCAGGATCGCTGTGGGCAGCGATAGATCGGCGCACTTTGCAGCGTGTGCCTCATCAAACCCGCTTGGCGCCTGTCGTGTGTGACTCTCCCTAGAAGTCTCGCTCGTCCTATTCACGCTGATCTGCTTTTGAAAACGGTAGAATGCACAGCCCTGATCGCCCTGTCCGCAGCCTCGTCCACGATGCGGTCGAAGAGTTCTCCACCCGTGCAGAGCTCCATGACCAAGTATATCTGTCACGAGCATAACACTTGCCAGCGGGTTCTATTTCGAAGTTGCCCTTCTTTCTGAAACCCTGCCCGTACCCAAATGGAAGTTGCTGAGACCTGGTTTGCACACAAGGCCTTCCGAGCGTCTTTGAACGTCTCGTAGAGCCTGGAGCACGAGCAGTTTCTGTCACTGCTGGCAAAATCCCTGTTCCAGGCATCATCGACCCTTCCATGCACAATATGCGTGCCTGACTACGTTGGGATGGTCCAACTTCTTTGCGATGTTGATCTCCCGCTGGAACCTGTCGCACCGCTCGGACCAAGCCAAGCACAAAATCGGGCACGGCAAGTCAGGCCTGGTGGGATTCTTCATGTTGCCGATGTCTATGGCTTTCACAGCCTCGAATAGCAGTGCCTGGCGCCTGGGGCCTTGGGAATAAGCGTACCTCGTGTCTGCAGATCAGGCTGATCAGACTCCGTGTGGCTCAGCGCTGAGCTCGCTCTTGCCCAGTCTGCCTGGCGAGAACTCCAACCGCCTGCTGTAAGCCTCACCCTTCTCGAAAAAAACGAATGAAGTCTCTGGACCGCGAATACCCGAGCCAGCACTGACACACATCATTTCAATACTGCCAGAGACCGTTCTTTCCTGCACATTTGCAGTTGCAAGCTCATGATCCTCCGATGCGTCCGGGTCTGTGGATGCCTCGCATTTGGCAGGACAGCACGGATCACTGCTTTTGACACGCAAGACCGGACTGCTTGCCCCGGTTCATCCTTCTGCCTCTTCCTGGTCGTCGCAGGATCGCGGCTTCGGCCAGCCGAGAGCAGTCAGGCAGCAGCACCAAAATGCACTGCCTCTCTCTCTGTGACAGTGGGCAGCATGCCTTTGACACATGACATGGGGTCGTCACAAGCAACTGAGCCCAAAACACACGCTACCTGAGTAGCGATCAGCGACCACGCTGAATCACGCTGCATCAACAGCAACATGTTGGCTTTGGCACGGGTGCAGCCGAGGTTCAGTACGCCGTCATACAGAAGAGGGACAGCATTATTGCCTGGGCCATCGACAGTCATGTCGAGGCAGCGGTTCCAAAACATGCCAACTTCTTCCATCGCAACAAGGTCTCCAGACATGTCTTCAAGCTCAGTCACAGAACGATGCCAAAGAGTCACAGCCATGGCTAAGTGATACGTCCCCAACGGAAGGCGGCCGTCCATGAAAAAGAACCGTCCCAGATTTGCTCTCACTTCGCCTCCACAGGTGCTGCATGTGCCTCCTGTCCCGCAGAACACAGACTGGTGTATGCTCTCTTTGCTGTACGGGCACCATCGTTCGGACGTAGACTCACAGCATAGAGAAGGGCATCCTCGGCAATGGCTTCATCATCTCACGCTACAAACCTGCAAAGGAAATGATCAAAATTTCTCGGCCCAGGTACAATTGCCGCATGCAATTTTCCTTGCTGGTATTCTGCCACTGCCAGGTTGTTCAAAGCACCGGGGCTGTAAGGATCCTGCATCGCACGCAGCGTCTCAGCGGAGCCCATAGCATCGAAGCCTCCACACCAGCCTGCTGCGCCACGGCACGCAGCATATCCGCCGCCTCCCGGTGCCGGCCGATGTGTAGCAGGTGGTTGCCGTAGATGCGCTGCAAGCCCAGAGCTGCCTGAGCCTGCAGACGAAGGGAAACTTGAAACTAGGTCCGCCCGGAAGCCCGTGAATTTTGCCGGATCCCGGCCCGAACCCCAAATCCAGCTAAAGCAATTCTCTCACTGATTCGGATCCGGCACCAGTTGGGCGCGCTTCGCAGGTCGCTCGACCTTCAGTGACTTGGAGCCATCGGCCTGAGAGTTTGCACAAGGAGAAGCCTCTAAGACTCCGGAGAAGCTCCCTGCAGGCCTAAAATGAACAGGGTTTAGGGTTTAGGGAGTTTTTGCTCTTCCCGGACAAAACAAGCCCTAAAGCGGCAGAATGTAGCCTGCAAGCTTGCTGATGCTGGCGGCTTGCAGAACAAACATGATAACAACTCTCGTTTAAACTTTTCCGCTTCTTCTGGTGGTTCGTAGGGGCATGTTTTCCGATTGGAAGCGATCAGTAAGCAGCTACATGTCAAGGACAGCCAACCGTTAGCACAAACAAGCAGCCAAGATTGGCTACTAAATGAGTCGAGGAGTTTTGTAAGAAAGTGAACCGCAAGTTGTACGGCATGAACACATTTCCAGGCGAACGCGTAAGAGAAGACTAAAGCATACTAAATCCTCACAGAAGAAAGTTGCTGCTCAAAGCTGGAACCTACAAAAACGAGCTGCGGCTGTTTCTGCAGCGTCTGGCACGCACGTGACTCCGTCCGACTCCCAAGAAGCGACTTTTTTGTGCTCAAGAACTGCAGCCAAAAACGAGTCAAAGCTGCGATCGCAATAGCGCTGTCCGAGAGTTGCATGTTCAAACAGCAATGGTTTCAGCCTGCCGACTTTCGGTGTGCAGACTCCAACTGGCCAACATGTGGTTGCTCTCTGAGTCATTTACGATAGGAAGCGCCGATAATCTTCGCCGACACTTGGTAGGTAGCCTCGACCTTCAACCCTCTATCACAACCCCGCCAGAGCCATGTTTCAAAAAATCTCCCAGGTAAACTGGGAAGTTTATCAGTTTATCATTGACACTCGACGAAATTTCGTTCACCCGCGGATGTTAGCTAAAATCGCTCAACTGCCTGTTCAAACCTTATTTACTTGCAATGTCACCAATGCTTCGCTCTGAGTCGGCTGGCGATGGCGCGTCGGTGCGCAGCTTGTGCAGCATCTGCCAGGTCGCTGTTCACCCGGCCGCGCACCCAGGCAACCAAAGCGTGCCTGGCTGCCGACTCTGGAGGAAGAGCCCACGTGTGTACCACACACAAGACAAAGCGAGGGTCTGGCAATGTACTTGTGTCATGAAAGGCCAAGCCTGACTCCCTTGGAGACTGGGAGAACACAGTGAGCCATATAAGAGGGAAATGTCACCTGAGACATCGAAGTGCCTCTGGAATTCTCTGGACTCGTCACTCAATGTTCCTGCTTATCGGAGTCACTGCAAACTTTCAAGTCAGGCCGAATCACTGCGTCGCCCAGGCCACGCGAGGACTCCTCGGTGCCGACGACCAGTGCACCTCCCTGATAGTCCTGGGATGCAAAGCCAAGAACGGTGAAAAAACGGTGAATGACCGATACCATCTCCTATGACGCGCCGGAAAACGGAGGCGTGGACGAGTGTACGTTCTTGAGTCGTCTGAACCTTTTTTGACGTCCAGCGGGTGCCCTGCGACTACCAGCACCACCACAACACCACCACAACCACCGGCACCACCCCCACCAACACCACGACAGTAATAGTAGTACACTCAGTGTATAACAATTGCGATGACTATACCAATAGTAATTAACGAGAGAACACAAACGGAGCCAGTTGCAAACCCAGTACAAGCAAGTAGAGGAGAAACCGCCCGCCACTTCTGCACATTAGCATCCCAGCATTTTCCAACGGTGAGTGCACGCAGTTTTTTGTGTGCTGGAACTGGACTGAACAGTGTTCTGAGACCGTCCCATGATGTTAATATGAAGCCTTCCCGGTAGACCCTGCCCGCACCTCCTCACAAAGGCCTTCCTCGCAGGAGTGCAAGCGGTCCTCATGAGTGCTTCTCATAAAAGAGCAAAAGACTTTCTAAACTCGTTCTCGTTTCCATACATGCGGGCCTCTTCGTGCCCTTGTTGCACGTTCTCCATAAAAGCCTCCTTTGAAGGGCCTGTTCGGAGCCTGCCTCCCCTGCATGGGCCCAAAGGTTGTCTCCTGGGCGAAGGGCTGAAGTAAGGGCTTCCACGCAAAAAGGAGCTCTTTGACAAACTTTAAAAAGACTTCGTTTAAAAACGGTCTCCTCAAGAAGGCCCTTCTCGGGGCAAAGTGCCTTTTTCAATGCAAATAAATCCTTCTTGGGCAATCGTTCGTCTAAGGTGGCTTCCTCCGCAAGGAGCCTTCCGTACCGGTAACGGTCTTGGCTGCAAGCCCGTAAGCCATGCTTTTCAGTGCCCGATAAAATGCAGGCCTCCTCAGAATTCTTCCCGCGTCCCTCTTCCAATCCACAAAGTCCAAAACACTTGCCCAAAAAGACTAAGTTTAACACTAACCCCGAGGTAGTCATAAACTGGGTGGACGGACGTCTTGTGTGATCATGTGCGCGGAACGAATGTCACCCTCAACACCTTTAACCCCAGACCTCAAAACAACAGTCGGATGCACACTGGACGGGGAACGTGAAAACAGGCGCACTGGACAGAAGAGTTTCAACGCCGTACTGCCTGTGACTCGGGGCGAGGGTGGCTCCGTATGTACTGCCGGTCAGTTGACATAAGATTTTCCGTCTTTAGTCTTTGAGACGCCTGGTCTCGATTAAGGCTCACCCATGCAGGGCTTAGAGGCCAAGCCTTGGTATCAGGCTGAAAAGTCTGGTAGGTACTCAGGTTTAGGCAGATGCTCGGCCGGACACTCAGCCATAGAAGCTCTGTGTTCTGTCAGATGAGCATTTGGAGACGGAGCTGACCTCATGTGTTGTGCGTTTGTAGTGCAAGCAGGAAGCCTGTCGTGCCTCTCTCAAGCGCCACACAAGGAAGACACAACCACGCTGGCAGATGCTGGCGGAAAGGGGCTTCTGCGATAGCATGTGTGGCCAAAGCGCAGGGGCAATCTCTCTGAATTTGGCTGCTACAATTGACTATCTGTCCGGTATTCGTCAAGTGAGCGAGGTCGTTGATGCAAGAGCAAAGTCAATGAAAATGGCTTGGAGAACAACAGGCAACCCTGACTCAGGCAGGCGTGCTGCTTTTACCCGGGTGCTGCTGTCGGTCCCAGATTCTGGTAACAGGTCTGCCATGCTTCGAAAAGAGCGAGAAGAGCCGATTCTGTGACAAGGAGCACTCCCCCTGGAGAGCTGGACAGAGAGAGACAGCAGTCTCCCCTCCGATTCCGCGCCAGGCATCAAGTCCTCAGCAATTCCAAGACTCCTCTGGGGTTTGGTCGAAGTTTCGCGCAACAACAGGCGATCCAGTAGGCTGCTCACTGCATGCCAATCATAGTGGCCATGGACATCACCATCTTCTGCGGCCTCAAGACGAAAGACACGAAACACCAGGACCAATCAAGTCAGGCCACCCATCGAATACACTGCAGATCTCAGGCATCTCGCTGCCGAGCTGCAGTATAGCCTAAGGTCTTGCAGAAGGTGGCTTAGGCTATCTGAGATTTACCTCATCGAGCTTCGGACGATCCGGAGGCCCGAAATTTTTAAAGGGGGTGGCAGAGACCCCTGGAAATGCAACAACTCGCTTTCAAGGACAGGCAGCTCACCAGATTCAGTGGCTCCATGAACTTCAAGCGTCCCAGCTTCCAGTGCAACCGGTTCGTTTCGGTCGCAATCTGCCAAAGACGCTTGAACACCCATTGAAACCTGAGCACGGCTTGCATGACGTTGGCCTTGCAGTAAAATTCAAAGTGGAAGTGCGTCTAGAAACCGAGCATCATCTGGATTCACCGTATACATCTTCGCCACACGCACCTGAGCAGCTTTCTGATCCTGCATTCTGAACGGGCCCGGCTTTGCACGATGCCTCCTCTTTGAAATATCCGGGACCTTGATTTCCAGAAACCAACGCCTCATGTGCAAAGTGACGGAAGCATCGATAAGCACAGATGGACCAAAGCCTGAGATGGGAACTTCTCAACACCTTTAATGCAGGTTCGCCTATGAAGGTATGTACATATGTACGGATGTATGTATACATGTATGTATGTATGTATGTATGTATGTATGTATGTACATAGGTGTGTACGTAGGTATTTACGCAAGGGCGTATGTACCAGTAGTTGCGGGCGTAAGCATGTTTTTGCATGTGTCAGCACACAGAGACAAGCTCCACAGGCTGTCTTTTGGTACATTTCCAAGGGTGTTCTATGGGGTCGAAGCAAAAGCAGTTTGATGGCCTCCTCCCCAGGCCCGGCCAAGTGGAGCAGCTCCTCACACTCCGCCTGGAGGGAAGCTCAGCTTGGTGCAAAGACACACGTAGCCCTGCATCCCGAATCCTGTAAAGGAATCTGCTTCCTGTGTGAACCTAACAAACCCTGCTACAATGGAAGCGATCGCACACCTCGGAGAAAGCACCAGAGACAGCTACCTGGGCGTTGGAGGGTGAAGCGCATGTGAGGAGCTTGAGTCAAATGGTGGCACAAACCTACAAAGGCAAAGTTCTGCGACCTCCCATGCTGACTACCACGAGCAGACAAAGTCTTGCAGAGTATTCCCGTCTGCCTCAAACAACACACGAGCCCTTCAACAATTGCACGCCACTCGTGCTTCTCCGATCCAACTGGAGTCTGGCTCTAAAGAGAAGATAAGTGCAGTTTAGAAATGCGCTGCATCAGAGCTGTCCCACTCAACCTCCTCTCGAAGCCATGCGATACAATGACACGAGTCAAGCCACTGTGAAACTGCCCTTGTTCATGGAATTCAGATCCACGGACCCAGACTCTTCGCTGTTCTCCTGGGGATGCCAACTCCTCAGCCGAGCCGCCACGTATCTGCAGCCTGTTTTGAATTTCGACAGAGGTTACCAGTACGTACCAAGCTTCCATCGGTTTGCCGGAAAGGCTGTAAGGACAACCGACAAGACAACACAGCCCACGCACATCCACCAGTAGAGCCGTCTGTGGGACGCCATGGCATGAAGTCACGAGGGCTTCTTCATCTTAGCCAAAATGCTAGTCCGCCGAAAAGGTCAGCTGAACATCAGTGTCTTCCAGCAGCCCTTCAGCAACCACGAGTCAGACCCTTGCTGAGAGCTTAGCTGAAACTTTGCCGGGATGGCTTGCAGGTCGCCCGGAAAGCGCTTCCGAAGGAACCTTCGCCCAGCGGCTTCTTCTGCACGCTGTAAGCATCCTTTTGCCGGAGCTCACATCGGCGTTTGATTCTTCCCGGGCGTGCAGCCGTGAAGTAAAAGCGCATCCACTACAGGAGAAAGCTCGGGTGGTCGGTCCTCGAGCGAACCGGAAACTTCTCGCGTGAAGTCGTGGGCAAAGACGAACGGACCTAAGTTCTTGAGCTCCTCCCTCCCTCCAATCACTGAAACCAAGACTTGCAGAAAGTACGAGTATGAAGAAAAGACAGGCCATTCTGTTCTTCGTGCTGGCTTTGCCCTGGACCTCTGCCCTCACGTGGCAGAAGATGGACCCTCTCTTTCGCGCGAGAACGCCCGGCAATGGCACAGCCGAGGCTCAGGCCCGATGGGCTCCGTGCCAATGCCAGGGACTCGGGTGGCTCCGAGCCCTGGGAAGGCGACGCCTGGCACGGACCCGTCCGCAGAGCTTGTCCAGAGCCCTCTTATGCGGCCTGGAAGGACTCGTCTGCCATCAGGTCGTGTCATGAGGCATTTTCAGCAAGACAATGTGACCCTATGGTATGTGTGGCTTCGTGCTCAAGGCATGTCAGCACAAGGTCTTATCGCCGAGGGTTTCAACGTTTGCATCTGTCCAGTTTTTGCGCATAAGCTGCGCATCACATCCCGTTGCTGCTGTTGTCGTTGGAGGTCGGACTGCTTACCTTAAACCTTGCATGACCACTTGGCCCAAAGCTGAGATCAAAATGGCAACATACCAAGCTCGTCTCTTCCTCCAGTTCGCTTGCGTCAAGGATTGTGTCAAGTCACCACGCACAGCACCAACAACTGCATGGAAAGCGCACAGCAACCACCACGTTGTCCCAGACGGATGCGTTTTTTTGCACCTTTGCTGCGGCCATCAAAGCATCGCGTGCTTGCGCTGTTCACAGGCACTCCAGGCTTCGAGCCCCTGAAACTGAAAGGCCCAACTAAACAACAAAGTAGATGACGACGAAGAAAAGAGGCTGTTTTAAGCACATTGTGGCGTAATATAACACATGCAGTCACATGCAGAAAACCACAGCAGTGCAAACGGAACTGCTTGCAGAATTCCTCCTCTTTCTGGCGACTTGCTTGTCGCGCAGCACAGCCTCTTTGGCCATGCCGGGTCGCAATGAGGTCAAGCTTGTGACAAGGCAAAGCGAGGTCTTCTAGCTCTGCGAGGGACCTGTCAAGCTCATTTCGAAATCCCACCCCCCTCCAAAAGCAGTCACGATTGCTCACCGTTCTCCCACCTGTCTGCTGTTGAGGGCAGCCGTAATTCGTTCTTCGGGCACTCCCGCCGCACTGGCGGCCTCACATTCAGCTTGAGATATACTACTTGGGCCAGCAAGGCACAGCTGCTTGCAAAGCACAGAGGGTGTTCCCGTCGCCGAGTCTCTCAAGAAACAAGCGTGCGACGAAGCCGACTGAGCAAGCCACCTCTTTCAGGCCTTCAGCTCGAAGAGAACGTGCAGCGCCTCGTTTATATAATCCATCTACAGTCCTACCACGGCTTTTCAAGGGCACTTACCTGCTTCTACATTCCACTGTGAGACAGATTCAAGGTCGGAGCTGATCCGTGCATAAGGGTTTGGATCCTGCAAGCGGGCATTTGCCGAGTCGGATGTGCTTTGACGTCAGTGCCGCCCGTAACCCCCACCTCCAGAAGCCGTGACAAGGCCTTCACCTCGCCTGCGGCCGCGGAGCCCAAGCGCCCTAAAACCTTTGCAGCCGGGCGATGGCAGATTCAGAGGCTTTTCGATTGCCTGTCCTCGGCGGCTCGGCGACGGAGGTCGCCGTCTTTGTCGCGAAGGGAGGGTGCCAGGGCACTGGAGGCTGCCTCCAAAGACTCCGAGCAGCTCGACCCATCGCACTCACACCCGGGTCTCCGGCTTGGCCCATCGAAGCAAGCAGCTCCGCAGCTCGACGTCGGCCCTGAGAGTTCTGCACGATTTCGTCGGCTTCGCGGCGCACGGCGCTGACGAGGCTCGGACGGCGGGGCTCTCGTGACGCAGCATCTCAGCCGCGGCACGTGCCCCAGCCTCGCCGAGCTTCTGAAGGCCAGAAGCGGCCACCTGCTGGGCCTCTTGGTGTCAGAGACAGAGGCTCTGGCCATACGCTCTGGATTTCTGCGCTCCTGCTGCTCTGAGGCCAGCTGCGTCGCCAGCGCAGAGGCGCCCAGGTCGCCCCTCAAGCTCAATGCCTGGCTCGCTTTTCGCTCTTTGCAAACACCCCCTGCCCGCCGCACTCCGCCTCGACAGCGAAGCTGCGCACAGCCGGGTCCTCCAGGCCCCGTGCCAAGGACAGGGCCGCGGCGCGGGAGAGCTTTGGCATCCTGGCAAGGGGAGGTCACCGAAGAGAAGCCGAAGAGCCATCCCTGTCCTGGCCTGGACAATCCCCAAGCTGCCGAGAGCCGAACATCGTCACAGGGATCTTTCAACCTGTGCCAGCAAGACCCTTCTCGCTCCGTCTCATCTGACCGTAGATATACAGAGAGGGTGGGAGGCTGTGAAGGCTTGCCTTTCTCGGCCCCAGGTAGCATGTTCAATTGTGTTTTCAGCCATTTTATACCTGTTGGTAAGAGAAGATGGAAAACTACAATACATCATCCGGTGAAAATTGTGAACAAACCTATTCGCCTTGCTTTCCAAAGACGTGTTCCGTGGCAAAACTGAGGACAGAACAGAAATTAATCGTTCGTAAGACTGGTTCTCCAATACCCACAGCCCTAGTTACAAGTGATGAACCATTAAAGTGATCACTGGTTCCCACGAAGCTCAAAGCGTAGTAGGCAAAGTCGGACCTTGAACCCAAACCCTCTCAGGGGAATAGCGAGCACCGAGCACCGAAAATAAAAAACACTGACTGAATGCCCAAAACCTGAAGCCCTGGTCGGATATGTTCCTGAAGTGGGGTAGCTTTCCAAAACACGCGCCTATAAAATATACGGAGGCAAAGCCTGGGTGAAGTTCGACCCGACCAATAGGGAATGATATCCCCAGGCCCCAACCCCAATAGGGCATAGGGTGGGTAGCAAACCCGAAACCTCAAATTGAACAAACACTATGATGCGAAAAGTCATGACAGGGGTGCCTAATCCAAAGCCTAGGAGAAGATAAATGAAAAGAGACTCCAAAATCTGAAAACGGAGACTGAGGTGATGGGAGGCAGACCCCGACACGAAAGGGATGTGATGGATGGGAAAACCGGCATCTTAAAAGGATGACTTGGTCACAGAAACCCAACCTCTAAGAACAGATATAGAACACTAACCCAATGCCTCAAAAGGAGGTAGCGGTCCTCACCCTCCCCTCATGAGTGGTAATGGGTTGGCCTAAAAGTGTTGCGTGGGGACGGAGAATCCTGAAAAGGATGCTGAACCATAAATCAGAAGGTTGTTCAACAAGGAGACACGGGTAGCAAACCCCGCAAACGTGACTGGATCCACAGAAAACTTTAAGCACCAAGACCCGAAGCACACCGTATATGTCAGACACTTCGTGACACTTCGATCCTCTTGTCTCGCAGATTTTTTGGACTTGATTCTAAGTAACCTCCTGGCCGCCTCGCAGGGCATAGCCATTGTCTGTGTCAGGGTCCCCATTTTGGCACGAACAATGACAAATGACAGATTCATTCTTTGAGATCGTTGTGAAAAAGCCCTTAGGAATCGCAACAGATGCCAGAAAAAAACCTCAAACGTCCAATGCTGTCTTTTGCAGTCCCATCTTTATATTTTTGAATCTTTTGTATACACATGTACAACATTCATATTCTGGATATATATATTTTCGTGACAATCTGGTAAATGAGCGAAGCATGAAAGTAACCTTCAAACTTTGTCAAATTATCACGTGAAATTTTATGCAAATCCGTCACATTCAAGAATACTACCAAAAGTACTGTGCTTTCCGTTTTTGCGATTTCTGGGACATATTGCAATAACGTTTTGCAAGAACTATGAACTAAACCAACCCTTAACCCTCAACCCCAAACACCTCAAGTCCTCAACCCTAAACCCAAAAACCCTTAACCTTGAACTACGCACCCTCTTTTGTCTTTTACAACAAGCGAGGCACGAGCCCTTTCTAGCCGCCAACAAAATAATAACAATAACGATACTCGCAACAGTAACAATAATAGGCATAATTACAGAAATAAACAACACCTACTAACTTTGTTTATGTAGTCATAGCAACAATAGTAACAATAACAACAATAAGCCTAGTCATAGTAGTAATATTGATAATACTGTCTTAAATTATGTAATGTTTGCTATAGCGAATGCCTTGGAAGTTCGCCCCCTTCCCACAGAGCAACCATATATGGATGCAGACCGGAGTTTTCGGGCCTCCTACTCGCCTTGTGCTCTTGACTTGCATTCCCAACTCGTGTTCGTAAATGTCCTTAGGTCTTTTTACTTTTCTGCATGTAGCCCAGAACATAGTCACCCATATGGATTGAAAACAGCATTGATCAGACTCATGGGTTTTGCTCTTCGTTTAAGCTGTGGAAGCCAGCCTATCGCCTTCGACCAATAACGGCTCTACACGGTGAAAAAGCTGTGGTTTGATAATAAAACGGCGGCATGTTCACGATCCAGAACAGAACTACTCATAGAGTCTGCTAGTTTACGAAAAAACAGCCGATGAAGTCACAGGACTCCAGGCGGGGTGGTGGCCTTCCGACCAATTGCTGTATGTTGTTCCTCTTTTTTTTGGCCATCCCCCTGCCCACAATGGCTGCCCCCAAGACATGGGCCTAGAGGCAAAAAACCCTTGATGGTTGAAACTAAACTGCTTTTGACTGCACCCCCCCCCCCCCCCCCCCCCCCCCTTTGGCCTCTCGATCTGGTGGAGTTCCAGGGCTGCCTCCAGTGCCTCGGAGGCCTCAAAAGCATCCCGCAGCGATTCCTCGAAGAGGTCGCTGTACCAAACCTGAAGCATCGGGGCAGGGGGCGGGGGGGGAGGGGTACCATTACGACAGGAGTTGGAGGGTGGTGTCCGGTTTTCGCATTCCGTCCTTGCAGAAGGCTCGAAGCTCGACAGGCTGCTGCCGCAGTATGCGAATCACCTTCAGCACCTGCTCGTCGACGGATGGGGTTTTCAGAGGCGCCGGGAAGGGGATCTGCGCCTCCCCCTCAAACCAAAGATTGATGCCTCTAGCGGGCAAGATAGTGGAGCCCAGCCCAGCCCTTCTACGTGCCACGGCCCTTCGATGCCATACTAAGCTTCGGACAAACACGGCTCGAAGCTCCGCGGAAAGGTCGCACACGATGCAATGTCGTGCGAGATGAAAACACAACGAGGCGTCTGTCCAAGGGCGGCAAGGGAGAATCTGCAAAGGGGAAGGGGAGTATTTCCACTTCCCCTCCGTCACCGTCCGCCCAATCCGGGTTGAGATATAACAAAGCGGTCAAAATGCGTCGCGCGTCAGAGGCTGCAGGCAGATCGAAGTGGCAGGGAAATGCCCCACCAGAACCAGTGTTCACCTGCACCTTGGCTTGCTCAAGCCTGTCAAGCTGCAACCAGGAGCTCGCAAGGCTGAGCATCTTGCGCAGATGCGACTCCTGTGGGGCCAAGCTGATCCGTGCTCAGTAGCGTGTTGGCATTTTAATGATTAATGACGACGGGAACTTGAACTTTTAAAAGACAACCACATCTAGATAGCTGGTTTTCTTGGGGGAACTGCTTCATTGAGCCTCTTAAGGGCAAAGCGAGCACAGCAGTGTCGTCAACGGTACCTGGCAGAGCCTTTGCCATGTAAACAGAGCTCACTTCTATTTGGCAGGCCGGTCCTGTGCCAACAGAGCTGAGAGTACCGGGCATCTTTGCAACACCTTCGGGCACTGCACACATCCATCTACGATAACGTCCGCCTCGTAAACATTGGGCTTCCTGAGCTCAGGCGACATGCACAAGGAGAGAGGAAGGCTGCTTACTCCAAGCACTCATGCTCACGGTCTAGTTCTACAGGAACGAGACACCGACTTTGCATCGAAGTAAATCAAGCTGCTTTTGCACGATGCCCCCGCGATGGCCATCAGAAGTTTCTAAGTTGTGAAAGCCGTTGCAAAGACATGTTCAAACGCTTCTCCTGAACATGTGAGGACATTCACCGCTGCATCTAAGGTTGAGTTTGTGCTGCATGTGCTTAACTTCTCTCGTTCACACAGAACTCAAGGCAGATGCCAGGCATCTGACAGCCAACTTGTTTCCACTCTGTGTGAGCAAGCCGTCTTCGAAGCAATCCTTGACACTGGCTGTTCTTCCGCTTTTGGTTTTTGAGAAACCACATGAAACAGCAATTACTACCAGCTCCAAACCAACGTCGACGACCTCAACTACCACTACCTCGGCTGCTGCTGTTGCAACAGATGTGCTGCGTCTGCGACAACAACTACTGTGTAGCAGTAGCAATAGAAGAAGCAGTAGCAGAAGCGATAGCAGTAGCAGTACCAGAAGCAGTAGTTGTAGAAGTAGCAGAACGAGACGTAAACGACGTAAAAGGAGCACGAGCAACAACAGCAGCAGTAGCAGTAGCACTACGAGTACTACTGCTACTGCTACTTGCTACTATGCTACACTACTACGACGACGACGACAGACTACCTCTACCACTACCACCATTACTACCACTACCACTACCGCTGCCACTACTACTACGACTACTACGACTACTACTACTACTACTACTACTACTACTACTACTACTATTACTACTGTTACTACGACCACCACCACCACCACCACCAGCACCACCACCACGACTATTACTATCACAACAACGACAACTACTACTTCTACTGCTACCACTACTACCACTACCACTACCACCACCACCACCACCACCACAACTACCCCTACCGCTACTACCACCACCACTGCCACGATCACTCAGTACCACTAACACTACCACTACTACTGAGCAACTACTTTTGCTACTGCTTCTACTACCGCTCCTGCTACTGCTACTAGCAAATCAAGACCTGGGTTTTCACCGTGAAACTCATTTCATTGCTAGATCAACTCTTTCAGCAACATTGACCTGATCCTTTGCTGTAATCATGGATGGTCATACTCGTGGTAGTGAGTCTGTCATAGACATAACTCTGCATAACCCAAGAATTTCCTCTGAAATCAAAAAAGAGGTACCACTGAAGGCAGCCGAAAGTTCCAGGATCTCTCGCCGAACCTCTGCAGCGACGCCCAGAGTCCTCAGTCGCTTGGATTTGCTGGATCGCTTTCTGGATTCATATCACCCACATACCTTGATTAAGCTCCATAATTCCACAAACAAACGAGATCGTCCACAAGCCCGGCCGCACGGCATCATCATGCATCCACGAACCGCGCTCTTCTAAAGCTGCAGCTGCTGCTGCACAACAAACATCGGCCCACATGGCTGACATGGCCTTTCAGCCTTCTTTGCATTGACAGGC